TTGCTATTTTACGGTCGTTATCGCTACTTAGACTTGCACTTTTATCCGGACTTATTCTATGTATACTAGAAATGTATATTGTAAGCAAAGTGAAAAAATCTTTTAAAAACGTATTAACGTATCTATGCTGTCTTTGAAGTCAATTTTTATTTACACTTACGATGTCAATCGACCTTAAAATTATTGAATTGCTTTTAAAAGAACCAAAATCTAAGGATTAATATATTTTATTATGATACCGAAATTAACATTTTAATGTTATCAATAGTAAAGTTTGAGTCTTGTCCATGTAATACGCGGATATTGCCCGGCATTCCATCGGCTGTTTATCAATCTTGGACACAAACGAAGTATAGCCTGCGACCCGGTTCAGGAAGAGAAACAACGGCGCTTACAGTTATGTACATAAAGCCAGGAACAATTCTTCACAAATAATATGTTTCGGAGTCTGCAATCTTAACTTTAATCAGATTTGATAGAAAATGAGATTTGTTTCTTTTGTCTGAAAGGTTTTAAGAAAGCTAGATACCTCATTTGTGTTACTACGTTGGCAGTTTTTTTTTAAATTTAAATTGGACTTGGACGGATCAAGCGGGAAGCTGCTCGTGACCCCAGTGTCCGTGGAAACAGCGATAAATAATATTTTGCTTACCGAGTTGTCTTACTTCTAGATGTACATAGTTTGCATCAAACGTTTGCTTACTCTTTTTATTTTCATATTTCTCCTTTCTTTTAAATAATTATTTTTATAGACTCTTTAAAACATACAATTGCTATATAACTATACGCCCTTGATACATCAACTTATAGGTGACTACTTTTTATAACACTGTCTTACGATTTTGTCGTTGAATATATTATTTAACTTGTAATATCATTGATTTGAGTAATGTTTATTTGTATATATTCCGGAAACAAAAATGTGCTTAAAACCAAAAGAGAAAAGGCCATGCAAATCAAAAGTACACTCATATCGACCTTAAAATTAAATTGCACATGTTATCATGAACTGTATATTACAGAAGCACATTAACTTGTAACATATTACGGTTCGTATAGAAAACCTTAATCAATGTTTAAAACGTTATTACAACAATACGTTACGGTTTTTACACAAGAGTATTTTAACATCACTGGAAGCAATTGTTTAAATAAACATTTATCGTAGTTCTACGCTAAATTTGTAAATTGATTTTACCAGTGGTTGAATGATTATTGTGAAATATTATACACTCACTTTCATAGAAGTAAAATAAATGACTCATTTATTTAACGATGCATATTGGCCAGCTTTATTAACCGAAACTAACTTAGACATTACAAATAGATTATTACATATGTGTTGTTAATTTATCAAAGGGTTTTTTATGTTTACTTTACAAATGATATTACGAGACTGATATTTTCTATAAATGACACTTACGAATAGCATCTTATTCCAGATAGGTTTAAAGAATAGTAACGTATGCACCAGAAAATATTTTATTTTTATCTCTCTAACGTTTTATTTTTGATGTTTTATAGAGATAAAAAAAAATGTTACTCTTTAAATAAATTACCTGAACAATCTTTCTATTTCCTTTAGCTGCATTTTGGCAATTAGTACAATTAAAGTGCCTGGGATTTTTGTATGTAAGTCAGAATATTTCTTTGTTTACATTCTGCTACTTTTATGTCAAATTGCACAGTAAGCGCTTCTTTTTTAAAGGAAACAAGCAGTTTATATGCTATTAAATATTGTTTAAATGTTTCAAACCCAAGTTTTGCCATTTCTTAGGACGTAAACAGTACTTTCTATTGTCTGATAAAGGAAGGAAACAAGCAAAAACAAGTAAGCTGGCCATTTTAAACACTTTTTTCAAAATCAATCAACATGTGGATAACATATTTAAATAGTTACGGACGATAAAAGTAAAGGTTTACATCATTTTACATTATTTTGCTGTGAGATGTTTCCTCACTGTTAATCACCAGTAACAAACGATAAATCTTTATTTTTTGTCATGTTAGTCTTTATATGAGCCTGACATGTGTAAACGTTTATGTTGTTGTTGGTTTGTCTTTTTCTGTCGGTTCTCATTTCCATTAAAAAAAACTTGTTAAAGTCAATTTGTTAATAATCTCTTGTCCCTGATAATCATGTTTACCGAGATGACGTGAATCACCCTTAAAGTGGATTTGTCTACAATTGCCACATTTTTATACTCCAAATATAATTGATAAAAGCGATAGACACTTAACACTAAGTCTTGTATTCCATTTTCTAATGAAAACTGTTGATGAGTAAGAACGAATATTGATATGATGAATTATAATATTTTGTTCTAGAACACTGTATTATATGCTATGCATGTCTATAAATATGTAATATCGTATCATGTATCTCACACTTACCAACAACTTTCATCAAATCAAACGTGCTATAATATAAAAACATTGTACCACATAGGTTTGTGGGTAATAGTAAAAATATCATCCCGAGGATAATATTTCTTTAGAAAAATAGACCATGTGACAGGATTTAACACTGTTAATAAATACTGATACGTACACTGTAACAGTAAAACATTCTTAGTCACATGGTACACTTTCATTAACAGTATAAACAGCTCCCTGTGGCCTTTGTGAAATTAACATTACATAAAAAGGTGAGGGGTAATAATAAATACTATCAATATAATTGTTTAAAGATTATACATTGCAAACCTTCAATCACGGACCAATTCATTCAATTGTATTTCTAAAATGAAAAAGGCATAAGCTTATTATCAATAATTAATTTATTAATTTAACATAAATTGCTCCGAAGTTTATCATCTAACGTTAGTGTTCCACCTAAATTGGATAAGACCAATACGTGAACGCACTGTACTCATCTAGTAATAAATGTCATAATTCCTTTGGAAGTTTTATAAGTAAAGTGAATGACTCGTTTTTTTGTTATTTAACAACGCGTGCTAGTAATCTTGCTAAACTGATGTTTATTTCGAGATTATAAAGTATAAACTCATGTATACAGGCCGATGATTTATCAATCAATTATGGCTTACAGACTCATCAATCGGCTTACAAGTAAGAGCTATATTTTCTATAGTATAAACTTGTTATGCCAGATTTGTTTAACTATATTGATTACACAACAACCCAAAGAAATAAAATTACCAAGACTGTTAAACAATATTTTAAATAACTGACATATTAACAACGTATTTAAATGTACAAAACTGTAGGTTACATTAATTTAGTTAAAAAACTGTTTAAAACATTTGCTGTATTTCGTTCAGCAAACTGCCGTTTAATTTAAAAGGGAAAGTTTTTATTCAACGTAACGACAACAAACGATCTTGAAAATATCCAAGAAAAGACAATTGTTTTCTGATGACCTTTTCTTTTTGATTTGCAAATATATTTTGTAAAGAATGTGGTAATATTCTCAAAGATATACATTGATACGGGATGATGGCATATCATTTTTTCTGCAGGTAATTCGTGTCTTTTTAGCCTCTTAAAAACAAATGCTTACAATGAATTTGAATTATTTTCTCATCATAGCACTGACAAAGTGCTGCTGTCTGAATCGGATAATTGGATTTCGCGGCGATCTTTGAAGGATACAATGTCTTAATTGTATAATAATCAGACCTATTTGAAAAAGTCATACATATATTGTAAAAAGAACACTTGTGATATAATTGATGGTTGATTTGAATGGAACAAAAGCAAAGAAATAAATGAATAAATTATTTGAAATAAATAAAAAATTTAAAACATAACGAATAGTATGTAACAATTATGTCCATCGACCAATGGGCGTTTCTCGATACAATCCTTCTATAAGCGGTTTCAATAAACCCATTTTGTTAAGTGAAAACTATCATACTGTGGCTGTTTATTGCTTATCAATGGGATATTGTAAATAAAACAAAAAATCTTAAACAAATATTGATAACGTTTCTCTGTGACATATTACAAGTATGTACTTGTAGAAATTAATTTGAGCCGCGTCACGACAAAACCAACATAGCGCGTTTGCGACCAGCATGGATCCAGACCAGCCTGTGCATCCACGCAGACTGATCAGGATCCATGCTGTTCGCTATCAGTTTCTCTACTTATAATAGAGATGGTAAGCGAACAGCATGGATCCTGATCAGACTGCGCGGATGCGCAGGCTGGTCTGGATCCATGCTGGTCGCAAACCCATCGTGACACGGCTCATTTATCGAATGGTCTATAAACTTGTATATGGCCTCTTTATTTTAAATTACCTGATAAAAGTTACTTCAGGTCACGTGGGAGCACCTTGACTACTTTTGTTTAAAACATCATATACATGTAAGTGGTTTTCATAACCATCCTGTACAGTCACTTTTTTTCGCGTGTTTGTTTTCAACTTTTATAAATAAATAAATAAATAAATAAATAAATAAATAAAATGCATAAATAAATGAAAAAATAAGTAAGAAATTAAGATAATTAAATATAGTTATTAATAAACTAGCTATAAATTAGTACATGAACGAATCATTCAATCAACCAATCAATTAATTAATCAATCTATTAATTAATCAGTCAATATTTTGATAAAAATATCACTTAATCAGTAAACAAATGCATAAATGATTATCAAATGATAAAGAATGCAAAAAGTAAAATAATCAATAAAACTTGATCAGAAAAAAATGAATATACGAGTATAAGTAATGATAATATATATAAAATAATAAAATACAAGCTGAATGATATTATAGGAAGAACATATGAGTAACGCCTATAAGATAACGTCAAAACGTCTTTTTATCTGTTCATTCGATCATGCACACATGTTCAGGGAGAAAACATGAATCATTAGGTACATATTTTATTTCTTGGACAAACTACATACAAAGCAGTACAAACATGAATCACAAACAATTCGCAGCACCTGTTTACGTTTACCTGAGCACTGTTAATGTCAGCTGTAAAGTTTTTTTCAGTGACACCGGTTGTCTCATTCAGAGCAAAAACAATAAGACAACATTTCCCGATACCACGTGGTGAACGCTGGCTGAAGTCTGTTTATAAAGAGAGCGCTTGTAGATGATAAACCATTGGAAAAACATAGCAGTGTCTTGGTGTAAAGGGATTTATATTTTCTGAAGCGTTATATTGATTCCAGGTAGTACGTTCATAAATCGGAGTTCTGTGAGGAAATAGCATCATGTTATTAAGATATTAGAATCTCTAATATAAAGATTAAGAAATGTGCTGTGAATGGATTGCTTAAATAACTCAGATTTGTTTGTAATTTTTTTGCGAAAAAGAATGTAAAAATATCGCGTAGGTATTATGAAATAATTAAATGAAGGAGATACACATATTTCTTTAATAAACGTAACTAGTTTAAAATGTCATCAAATAACTGATTGCAATAATTTCATTTAAAAAGAAAAAAAAACACATTAAAATACATATACGAAATTGCAATACTATGTATATATATTTTTTATTATACTGTTTATATTTGTATCTTCAGTAAATTATCAGAAATATATGAATTGGCACAGTGCCATTATAATATTTTCATAGTTATTGCGTTGCGTGGGAAACTTAGGTTTACCAATGACATTTACAAGGTTTCGAGTTTTTTTTTCAAATACGTTTTGGAAATTGCTATGGTTTGTGGTTGTACAAAATACATTTTATAATATTTACGTTTTTTTATTCTAGATATGACAAAGGAAATAGTTATGGAAAAAGAAGAAGTAGAGCGGAAATTTAGTGTGCCTAAAATATGTCATGATTTCGAGGCGGAAGAAAGTAAACCTTCCGAAAGTAATAAACTTTTACAAAGAAGAAAGATGATAAATTCTGAAATTCCAAACTTAAATACCCTCAACCTTAACACAAATGCTCATGGTCGTTCTTGCTCATTCCGTAACAGACCGCGACCGAAACTTTTAGATGTTGATCTTGACCGACCAAGGAGGAGTAGTTTACCTTCACCCGCAACAAATCACCATCTTTCCGTCTCTTTTGAGGACATTGACAGAAGAGTTTCCTCCCAACAACCTTTACAGAGAGTAAGGTCATTTAAGACCACTTCTAAGGGTGGAATTGTCAACAGAGGCGATTCCTTTAAACGAAGTTCAAACAGTGTTAATTCTACAGGAAGTGCTATAGTTAACGTTGATAAAGCAGGTAATGCTGTACCTGTAAACAGACAAAGGGCAAATAGTACACATTCTAAAGAAAGTGCAAACGGTGACAGTATTGCCTCATCGATAGAGACACAAGTTTACAAAGTTGCAATGCTCGGAGACAAGGGTGTCGGAAAAACATCATTGACCAATCAATTTATGACATCAGAATTTGTTGCATTTGAAAATGACCAAGGTAAATAATTTTTTGCTTTCCTTTATATCGTAGGTACATAATTCTGCAGTAGTGAAAAGTATTTATGAAACAAAGGATAAATATTAGTATATAGTCTTAATCAAATGTAATTTTCAACAATCACCATGAATTTATAAGAAACCCTCTTATTTGTTGTACAAAAGTTCGGTCTTATATATTACTTTGTCCACTGGTTATCACTCGCGTATTCATAGCACCTTAAATAAAAATATCAACTGCCCAACAAAATAGATAACAGAGCTTCTAGCAATAAGACATTAGAGGCAATATTCGTAGGTCATTTCATTAAATGTATAGACTTACGGAGAATTCTCATCATTTTTATACTGTTATCATTAACTTATCTAATACATATTAAGTTAAAACCCCAACTGTTCCTAAGCAAAAAAACAATGCATACACATTATAAGAACATTAGGGAAAAAATCATTAGACGATGCAGATCCTTGTTATAGTTTTAATAATGATGATAAACCCATAAAAAAAACACAACAAAAAACAACTAAGTAATAATATTATCAAAAAAATATTTAATTTAATACTTTCGAATGCTATATCCATTGTGTTAATTAATTTTAGAAACACTTTTTTAAAATCTTTAGATAAATAACCCAATATGACTCCAAACACATCGCATTGTATGACAATCCAGTTATGTCAATACTAACATTTTTATATTTACAGAGTCATGAACTTTATTGAAAACGTTTGATGTTAGAAACATTTAAATTGATCCAATGAGGCAAAGTAAATATAGCGTCTGGTTAAAAGTTCGATAGTGAATACCAGCTATAACGTCATGAGCTAAGTAGTATAATTGCTTCGCAATTTCTCCGCACTCAAAGAGAAAATCAGGGGTCTATTGGAAGTATGTTTATTCTAGGGAGGTTATTCAAAACTTGAATCAATTATGTTCCTTGGCTATTATTATTGAAAGTGAAAGTAAAACCCTGATTCAAGTGTGTCAAGCACGTGTGTCTTGCTATTGTTACATTGTTACATTGAAATAAACAATGATAAAAATGTAGAAATTTGACACTAATTAGAATAAACGTATTATTAAAATAAAGTCATTCTATTACAATGCGTTATGATTACATATATCTTATAATGATAACGTCCATCAAACTTAAAAGCTTATTTATCTTGAATGTTTACCCTCCTAATTATACAGTTTCTTTGTAACATATAATAATTAAAACATCATGCCCATTGTGAATTTACTTAACTTTATCAACCTCCAATCATATGACGGTACTCATGTCACTCAAGTTGTTTTCAACGATATTCTCAGATAATAATATAAGATATTTTTTATCATGAAACCGGTGGCATAACAATTTTAGAACAAGAAAAGCATCCAGAGTGTCTTGAACTGCTGTGTATCCACTCTGTAGGACATAATTTCAATTTTATCTGTCATGCGACGAAGAAATAATCATTTATTATCTAAATGATAAACATATGAAAGCCGCATTAGGTGTAAGATTTTTTTCTTTTGCAGACACATATACCTGATGTAAAAATTGTTTCTCTTACATATGAAAAGGTCGTGATGTATATTTTCTAATAATTTAACAATCATCATTTGTATTTGCAAATGTTTTGATAAATTTCTAACACTTATCATTCAGTCCTGCAAAAGTAGAAATAACCATGAAATGTTAAAAAGTCGTTAATGAGTTAAGGTAGCCACAAAAACAGTTTTAGAAAGTAAAAGCTTTATTTGATTAAGTTTGTCCACGGACTGTATTGGTAAGTCTAAACTACAGTCTATTTTCCACCTTGCGCCGACTAGACAAAGAAAATCAAATTGCCATAGAGTTATACTAACTGCTTCTTAATTTTATCAAAAGCATCATAATAATCTGTGAAATTGAAATAAGCTTTCTTTTGCGTGCAAAGATGTCAGGAAATTGTTATATAATAAGTGACTAGAAAATAAACAAAGTTTGTTGGCTTGGCGAAACGTAAACACATAAATTGTTTATTTTCCAACGCTAATTAATTCCTTTCTGTTTGTTATGAAGTAAAGTTATCAATCAATTCTTCAATTTCGAACATTAATACCCATAAAACGAATTTCTTTCAAAGTTTAATACTTAATATTATATGGCTCTATCGAATTTCCTTTCAGATTAATACATCGTAAAGTGTATAACAATTAAACATTTCAATTTCAGCTCATTATTACAGTATACACCAACGTAATAGAATATGTAAAAGTGCCAGGTGACCATAGTTTCATTTAATTATTTATTTGATTTTCAATGAGTTCTATCGAAGTTAAAGGCATGTTCATTAAATTCAGCAAAAATGTCATTGTGTCATGAAATGCCTTGAATTATTCAAAAGCATTGCATTGTCATATCGATCAGAATTTAATCAGTTAAAACAGTATATTCATGTGCAACTACATTTACATATCTTTTAGAACATTACAATTCAAAACATGCCGCTTTGGAATAAGACAATGATATCTGTTTTATCTATAGTAACGTACTTGGCTTTCGATCGCAAATACCGAATAACTAAATGACATGTGCCAGGATCATATTGTAATATTTTTATTGTCCTTAATCACTATACGCTACCTGTACACTGTGCATATTATCCATACAACTAAAGCTATTCTCCGACACTGCTACATCATGATGTACTGCTTTTCATAGAGCACCGGAGGAGAAAAATAAAACATAACAAAAAATAATACGCCGATTTGAATACTATATCTTAAATGTCTACTGTCTGAGAGTGATCTTAACCTAAAAATAGAAATGAGTAAATTTTTCTCCCTGTTCTTCAGATGTTCATACCTTTGGCATTAATCACAGAAACACTTTGAAAGATACATAGGTTCCGTATATATCTACTCCAGATACCTTATCACTATCTTGTGTAGATAATCTTTCATCTAAAGTTCCTCTCGCTGATTTTTAAGATAAGAAACAAAATCTTATGTCATCTTATCGTAAACTGTTTCCATAACATTCTTTAACATGAGCTCATTTTCCACACGAGACTCATACACTCGCACATTGAAATTATTTTGCTATAAAAGTGTTCATATTCACGCGTATGAATAAAGTTCTTTGAAGTTATAAAGTAGTTGTACATTTTGGCATTTTGATTTTATCTGTATTTGAAAAATAAGGAATATATGCATTCCAATACATTTTTCCTCTTTTCTAAATTTTGTATTTGTGATAATTTGTTTTGCATGTGGGATGTGTAAGGAGGCATTTGATATATTTATTTTACAAAAACGTATCAGCAATGCCTTTAAATTCTGGTATTTGTGAAATATTTTATACTTATGTTTTTTTAAACAATTCCACGTCGTATCATTAAATCGCTATTTTGGTTACATTGGTTGATCAACTAATTGGATATCAAATAATAATTGGACATTTAGAATCTACAACAATGTCATATATCATCATGGAGAGATTTCTATAGCATTTACTTATAATATACGATACCAACATCTCATTTTACATTCATTTCATTATAATGTATGATTTTGTCCTTAAGGTTCGTCGTGTTTAATATTTTTATTGCTAACACAATTCAATATTGATGTCACGTGATCTCTCATTATAACCATATGTCACAGATCATTGAAAGACAATTACTCTTTATATCGTAGACTATTGATTTAAAAAAAAATCTATATAGATAAAATATATCAAAATAAAATGAAATCAGTGATCAAAAAGTTATGGCGCTATGCACAGAACACAGCCCGTGATTTCATCTCCGCCACATCAGCTAGATACTTTGTAGGGCACCGAACCTTAAATGGGACACGACACAAATGTAGAGAAATGAGGGAAGGGGTGTACCAATAACTGTAACAATTAAAAGTAAAAAAATAATAAAAAAGCTTGTATCAATTCTATTTTACTTTTGTCTTCTTTTTTCAGATGAGTCCGAATCAGACAGACATGTTACTGTTTTGTTAAACTCAGAAGAGTCTACGTTAGAAATTATCGATAGACTATTAGATAACCAGGTATGCTTTTCTATAGGTGTAGCTTTTTCATCGAGTGAGACACTGACTTTTCTTAATACATGAATATGCTTAGGAATGTTGTCTGCAATGTCGTTCAATATAGAACGACATACCATGCCGACTTGATAACTGCGTTTGAAAGTCATATTTACATTGACCTTAACAATAATTGTACAGAGGTCCTGCAAGTATTTGGCGCCTATCTACATATTTTATACAATAACAATCATACCTGATCACACTTGTGTTCTTGATGTGCGAAAGGTATTCAGCAAGATGTAGGAATGTTGATCTTCCCATCTAGAAAATAATGCGCAGAAAGACACAGGGGTTTTTGCCCTAGTGCGTTGACATGTACACTAAATAGTGTCCTGTTCTCATAGCTAAAACCTGTAACGGAACGATGAGTACGACTACAAATTAACGATACTACTTCGAACACCAACCAAAAAACAAGATTTTAAAACCCTTCGTGTGGCCAACTGCGTTAGAATAGTTTCAGTAGGCATGTACTCGGAAAGAATATGGAACGGTTTGAATGATAAATAGTAAAATGGAACATTCAATATTTCTTAACGTTTACATTATGAAATACTTTGTATGAATACTGCTTCAATCCAAATGAGAATTTATTGATTATCATAAGTTGCAGTAAGTCTGTATCATGGCAAATTCCAGAAAAAAATCATCGCTTTGCGCGATTTGTCTAAACTATCATATCTATATATTATAAAATGGCACAACGCATTACTTTTCATAACATAATCTACATATTGTGCTATTGGTATTTTCAAGCTGTAACTATTAATCAGGCTGTTTTGAAAACACGATACTGTTGAATGTATATAACTTAAATAATGATTAAACTCGTTTAAAACTGTTATGTCATTATGATCTTAATATTACAATTTGCATTAATAGGATATGTATAACATGTATATTTAAATGAATTGATTTGAATAGAATTAATGATTTTTCACATGAAAATAAACTTCAATGAAAACTTAAAACTGTATTATTTCATTCAGAAATACAAAGTTTTGGCTCAAAAGCCGTCATCTGTTATAGTAGTATACGAGGTTTGAATATAGTAAATTATAAAATTGTACATTGTTCATAGGAATTGTTGAATTGCTCTGAAAGTCACAAATATCATATCTTTTCAGGAGCTCAGTGACCAGTGCTTTGACGCATTTGCAGTTGTATATTCCATGACAGACCGTGCTAGCTACCAAGTAGCTGTAGACCATTTGTACAACATTCGACACGAGCTGTCCATTAAAGACAAACCAACCATTCTAATAGCAAATAAGATAGATCTTGTACGAAAACGAAAAGTTTCGAAAGAAGGTATAGTATTTCTTTAATATTTTAGTGACAGTCCCGATGAGTAATTCAGTAGTAGTATTTCTAATTTAAAATCGCGATTTGATTTAGAGTAGATTATACAGATTTTAGTTTAGTTCGATTGCTCAGGAAACATTTTGCTGATAACAATACTTTCGTATCAATGTTTGGAAACTAAGCAAAGACTTTAAAGTTTCTTGCTTAAAGAATCACAGAAAACACCTGACGGGGTTTTCAAGAACCCATGCGACAAGCGACACTTAAATTACTAGTTCAATGCGTTAACCACTCTGCCGTGCCGCTACTAGTTCATATTTGTAGTCTTTCCATCCGACGGTTGTGTTTGTTTTTATCTTATTTAAAATCACACTAACACTGTGAAGGTCAAAAGTGGCAGTCCAGCATAACTTTTGGAGGAAGACCTCAGGCGCCCCTTCGTGCATTATTCCAGGCACAAGCGTGCACTTTGGTAGAATCACCGATCACTGAAAGATAGATGTGTAGGTATACGAAATACCAATGAAGACAAATTTATTATGGCAAAGTCAGGCTAGTTTTAATCGGACAAAATGATAACAACGTACACTTTGGGTATCACAGTGTTTGATTAATTTCCTTACATTTTCAGAAGCGAGAGCAGTAGCCAAACAATACGACAGCAAGTATGCGGAAACTTCGGCTGCTCTAAATCATCATGTTGATGAGTTACTTGTCGGTATTCTAAGTCAGATAAGGCTTACCAACACGCCTGACATGCGTATGGAACGCCCGGATTTCGAAGCGATATCTAAAAATAAACTTGGTAAATGTGCGTTACCTGGACCTAAAAGGTTGTTGAACTTTATATTCAAGAAAAATCATTGTAAAACCTCTGCTTATGAAATAGAAAATCTGTTCACACGCTAACCAACGGGCATAATATGTCGTCTTTATGTCGTACCTTCAGACGAAACACTATCACAGAAAGGAAATGGTTTCCTGGAGTCCTATTTACAACGAGTTAATACTTCTTTGGTATAATACACAACGAGTTAGTTTACAATCTCGTGAATTGAATTCCTTTGATTCTTGAATAGTGATGTTACTCTCAGAGTGCTATTATGTAATTTTGTACAGGCGGGATTAACATGTTATTATATTTTATCTCTGTGTGGATTTTTCTAACCTATACGATCTGAAAACTGTAAATTTTATCATCATGATGTATGCTTCAAGACTTAATTCTCAATGTGTTTGATATATCATGTGTGACGAGTTTAAGCTAGGAGTTCAACTTAAACGTAAATGCCTACAAATGGTACGCCATTTGGGGGTACTGTTATAAGGAGTTTATTATTTAGATATATATCCTACTGTTTTATAACCATTATCAAGAAAGTATGATAGAAGGTCGGGGACAAACTATAAGGGTTGCAATAAAATAGAATAACTGTATATGTTTACCATGATTTAATAATCACTTTCAAATAAATAATCTTTTATTTTTGTTTTACCTACAAATATTAATAAAATATTTCAAAGAGCATTATTTTGTTCTTTTAACGGTTGTTTCTTCTTAACATGTACCTAGTACATGAATGATGCCAGAGTTCTTGGTACGTATCATTGCAAGAACAAAGTTTGCAAATGTCCAAAATAATTTCTATAACACCGATTATATAAGACAATATTTGAAGAGAAATTCTCAGACAATCACAGACCGGTGCTATGAATTTGCAACAGATTTCTCCACGCATTAGAATTTTCTTCAAATCTGCTTTCAAACATATTTTGAAAATAATTCACGAATGTTTACATTCTGTATAAAAACATGAAGCTTAACGATTGCTTTAAATTCATGCCATGCAAAGTAACTCTATATATTGATGCATGTTTTTATATAATTATAATTGGCAAATACATGTGTCATGACTTGAAATGTTTTATAACTTCTGATGCATAATCAAAATTGCACTTTATTTTCAAATAATGCTGATTATATAATTATAAACCAAACGTGAACTTAAATTAGTAATGCGAAGTTCAAGAAATATTGATATATTACGTAACGACACAAATTGCAATATAAATATATTTTTGTTCATGCTTATCACAAAGAAAATTGCACAAAACAAAATCATCTATTATAAAGGTAGTGAAATGTAAACAAAGTGGTACATTGACTTCCATACAAAATACTGAATCAGTATAACACAAATGACGCAAAAGATGGCTCAACTAAGTAACTAATATAATAAGTTATTTTTATTTTTTATTTAGCTATTTATTCAATGTTCTTTTTTGAAATTGTAACAAGACACAAAACATAAAAAGCTATTGAAATATGAAAATTAAAAAGCATGTATATGATTAATGGAACCTTCATCAATGTGGATAGAACAGACTTATACTTCATAAACAGTTACTGAAACCTGAAGATACAATGCTAGTAAAGTACAATGTACGGTTAACTTGTATGTAGATTGTGCACACCTGAAAATAATTGTACACGGCATATAACTAGATTACAATATATGTAAGGTGGCAGAACATTTTGATATGCATTCAGAACATTTAGGTAATGCAAATGCTTAATGCCTGTAAAATTAAGTTGCTTGAGCAGACGACATAGACACATGGAAATTTTCTAGTTATTCGACAGACCGAGAGGGACACATTTCACTTTCACAACCTAAACGATTAAACTTTAAAAAAATACGATTTAACATAATAAAATAGGCATATATGTATTGCATTTATGAATCACGAATTTAAATCTATGAATTCGCGATTTCAACAACTTGACTTCAAGTGAAGCCAAAAAGTGAAAGTCTTTAAAATGAATGAAGCACTATAGGTATTCAATTTCATTAATGTCTAATGACACATATACTTTTGCTAAGGCTTCAATTCGAAGTATTCTGTAATATGTTCAATGGTCAATGCCTCACACAAATCTTGCTTTTCACTTACTTCTTTTCCTTTAAAACATCAATAATTATTAATTTTATTTATACTTATGTAATTTTAACGGCATAAAAATTCTAAAGTTACAAAATAACTAAAAAGGCATTCAGAAGAGAATCATTATCTCTATAATATATCATTTCTTTCTCATTCATAGATAAGAAATCTATTGTATTTCTAGGCAACCAGATTTAAGATAAATATCAGTTTTCCAATGTTTAACCAGTTGAATTATTCATTTTCAGAGAATCGAATTTCCATACCGTAAAAGGTTATATTATCCATTTAACTAGACAGAGCAATTCTTAAACGAAACAATTTGATAATTATGATACTTTTTCTTTCCCTTGAGGTTTCTGCTGAAACCGAACATGACTAGCTTTAGCCACCAGTGTAGGGGCAGGCCATCCTGCACACCCGTACAGCTCTATACGTTTAGCGTTCTAAGATGATACCTTGAATTGATAATGGAGACTTTTAAAATGAAAAATAGACACGTCCATTACACTTCAGGCTTAAAACAATGAAATAAATAAGTAAACATAATAGCTCTTGTCAGGCATTCGTTTGATGTCAATAACATTTACTTTTTGTCGCCATAAATTTCAGTCCTTAAAATTTTTATTAGCAATCGATTAATTCATGGGGTTATTTTATATTTAAATCATTAAATGAGACATAAGAGTTCCTTTCAACTTAACAGATAACAGGAATTTATCTATATAATAAACTATACAATATTTATAAGCAGCTTTATGTACTTAGATATTTCTTTTAACATTGATTATAAAATAATGATTTGAATAGGATAGACATAAACTCAAATTCATTTTTTTTTTTTAGTATTTCCTGTAACTTATTTATATTATTTGTGGTAAGTGATGTTATCATTTGAAATATAATACTCAATAAGAGATGCTTTAGCCTTTGCATGTTATTACCGTGATATATTATGTTATTAGGTATGGTTAATAAAGATCCTGAAACACAATTTTTTATGGTTTAAAATCATAAATATGATGCTCAAATTAAGATTTATCAATATAATAGGTACCAAAAAGCATTATTTATAAAGATATTAACGAATTTAACATTTCATGTAAATTAAGGGAGGTAATTAGAAATTTATTTTCTATATTTTACAATAACAATAAATGCATTTATTTTAATGATTACATATAATATGCACAAATATTTGCAGTACATATTTTAAATATTCTTCGATGTTTGAAAATTGTTTTATTTGCATAATTATGTACATATATATAATTTGTAGGTACACTTAGTGTAGTTAACCACTTTGATCACAACATACAGGACCTTTAATGAATACATGTAGTAGCCCTATAAGGTGGAATCAATAAATAAATAAATCAATCAATCAATCAATTAATCAGCAAGTCAGTCAGTCAACCGACCAATCAATCAATCAATCAATCAAATGAATACAGAAACAGAAGTAAATACGACAAAAAATTAAAAGATACGGAACAAATTCATCAGAACAAAATGAATTTTTGACGGATTCAAAATTATAACAAGTATATAAATATTTCGTTTATTTTTTTTTTATTTTATTTATTTTTTTTTTTTTTTGATAAACGTTACCTTTTCCTAAATGTTCATTTTAGTAATGTATATATTTTGAAGGAACCTTGACAAATCTGCGATAAGATGAGATAATGTTTCGACAGACACATTGTACAATGTTACATACTACAATCATATTAGAATGTCTAGACTGCCTAAATAGCTTTTTACACACGATAAATCTCTGAGGAAATAAAACTTTTTTGTCGTCCATTGATTGTAGGAGGAACTCATTGTTCATGTAAACCTTGACTTATTGAATTTTTGTTCAAATTTGTCAAAGATTTGCGATTTAAAACTGTCTATTCAAGTTTACGTGAAGATTTCAAAATCAAACTACAGAAGTTGGGCTGCCAAGAGTATTGACTCTTGCCAGACTACAGAGTAAGCTTTCATGTCCTTACACTGTGGGGTAAAGTAGATGTTAAAAGCTTTGCTATTGTAGAATCCCTTTAGCAATAAGCTAAACAGTTGCCATAAGGCTTTAAAGTGTCATATGACATAATATATCCAACCTCTTAAAAATAAAATATAAAGGGAACTTAATAGCAACCGAAGTTTATGTGGTCCAAAGGATGATGCTTTGCACAGGTTGTGCTGTAGACTGTCTGAATAAAGGATCTCTGATGTAATAATTTTACTTATTTTACATCAGAGCTTACCAAAAGAACATATAATTTTGAACACTTGAAAATAAATATAAATGATGAGAGAGATATGTTTGAACATGTATTCTAGAAACCATTCTATATGAAATGTCACTGAACGTGTTGATATGCTTTCAAAACATTGAGATAAATATCTCACGTCTGGAAAAATAATTTGACTAATTTGATATAAGAGAATGTTGAGAGAATGTTCTATTGATTGAGTGGTTAATATGAGCGGTACAGCATACACTAAGACTTGAAACGAGAAAAATTACCTATAGAAGTGTCGGCTACGTCAGCTTTGATGTTATGTTTTACACTGTTTATCGTGTTTTAATTTGAAACTTTAATTTGAACAGGTGCTAGGGGTTTCACAAATGTTGCATTTAATAACATCGCGAGAACAGGCTCGATCTAACCGAGTAAGACATTTTCACCTTTTGAAATGTGTTTTCATTGTTTTCGAGGGATATCCTATTTTTCAGACATTCATATATCACCTCGAGGTATATCCTTTTTCTCAGACATTCATATAACACCTTGAAGGATATCCCATTCTTCAGAAATTTATATAACACCTTGATGGATATCCCATTTTTCAGACTTTCATATACCACCTCGAGAGATATCCAATTTCCAGACTTTCATATACACCTCAAAGGATATCCTATTTTCAAGGCATTCGTATAACCTCTTTAGGGATATCCTATTTTACAGACATTCAAATAACACCTCGAGGGATATCCCATTTCCCAGAAATTCATATAACACCTCCATCCTCTTTTCAAGATATTCATATAACACTTCGAGGGATATCTTATTTTCCAGACATCCATATAACACCTCAAGAGATATCCCATTTTCCAAACTTTCATATAACACATAGCAATTAATGACAAAGGTTGTTGTTATCAACAATATGTACTAGAACAAATACAGCTATTCGGATGAATCACAATACACGCGTTAGTTATTAGTTGATATAAGTGTCAATATATAAATGACATCTCACGTTGTGTTTATTGAAAAACATTGGGTACATAACATTTTTTAACGCTTGAAATCGTACCTACCAAACTGAAAATCTGTTAAAATGACGTATTACGTGAAAATTTCAATTGAGAGAATAGTTTGTTCTCACGTGTAGAACCGTGTGTTGGTAGCTTGAGATAGATATCCCAATTGAACCAAGTCTACAATGCTTTAGTTATTTTGCTCTTTTCTATTCTTCCGACGGAGTATCTCACCATTTTTCTAGATTTCTTTACTATAAAGTATCTAATAATTCTAAATTCAACGAATATTGAAGGGATATATTTTTTCTATCTGATGAACTG